TTTATATGGGAGCTGAAGTCGGTTTTTTTTTGCTAAAAATTACTTGTTATTACCTTCGATTCCAGTTCCATTTTCTGTTCCAATTTCAATTTTAGTTGTGGTTGTGTCTGCGTGCGCTAGTGGTACTTCCAGCTTTGGGCAACATATCTAATAGTTATTTTGATTAGTTAATCAAGTTTCCACTTAAGAAAAGTTTTCAACAATCACTTACCAACGGAACTTTGTTGTCATATCCACATTGATTAGCTCGCAACAAAACTATTTCAGCTTGTGTTGGATTGGCTTTTAATACTATATTCATCATAACGCTGCAATTCTGTATTGGTATACACTCACCAACCATATCGAATGATGTTACGCAGGATGGAAATGAGGTAACTGAAAATTAGATGGTGANTGGCTTTTAATACTATATTCATCATAACGCTGCAATTCTGTATTGGTATACACTCACCAACCATATCGAATGATGTTACGCAGGATGGAAATGAGGTAACTGAAAATTAGATGGTGATTAAAAGTTCGCTTACTTATTTAAGCTGGAAATGTGCACAATTTTTAAAATTAATATTAAATACTTAACACCACTTGAAGGCGGTATATGGCCAATATGTGGACAGAAAACGAACAGCTGCGTTTACCGCTACCGGGACATGGAGACACAATAACAAAGGAAAATTCATAGATATAGACCCTTTATCGTTGTCAAAGATAAATATAAAGACAAAGACAAAGATAAAGAAGATGAAGATGAAGATGAAGATGAAGATGACGAAGAAGATGAAGATAAAGATAAAGACAAAGATAAAGATAATAAATATACACATAAATATATAATTAAAAGTATAAAGTTCAAAATGAAGATAAGGATAAAGATAAGAATTAGGATTGAGATTAAGACTAAGATAATTTTTCAAATAACAAAACAACTATCAAATTTATACTAAAAAAGTGAATAAAACTTAAGCGGATGTGAAAAAAGTTACAGGTAAATAATTATTTAGCAAACTTCTTCCTTTCTGGAATTTTTTCTATGAAGGTTCACTTCACTACTTTTAACCGAATGTATCATAAACTAACATCTACCTTTGGTTGATAAAGTTGATCGAATAACGAACGAATTCGGACAGAAGTAACCGGTTATTAAAGCATACAAGTTGTGAAGTGACTTATGCCACTTTCAAAATAAACCAGTATTTTGATTAAGTAGTTCAAACAAAAAAGTTTTATTTTTAACAAATGGAGCTAAATAAATTTCAAAAACCATACCTATTTTAATTTTCTGCTCTTCGTCATCTTTACTCGTAGTCTTCGGACAGCAAATCTACATACATATGTGCGTAGTAATTAAACGGAAAGTCATTTTAATAAATTCAAAATTGAGGAAATAGAAGTATAGCTCACTTGAGACTCTCCTGTTTCACATTCGCTTCGCCGTACAAATAACAATTCAGCCGCCGTTAATTGCTCTTTTTGAAAAAGGTAACTCAAGGCATTGCAATCATCTATGGCTATACACTCGCCTGCTAGTCCGTCTGGTGTTTGACATGTTGCAGTGTCGGAAACTATTGAAAATACATACATACACGACTTTTTTTTAGAAGCGATTCAGGGAAGAAATAAACTTCAACCCCTCAAAGTATTTTAGAGTTCTTTGCAATTATCTTTGCATTTCAAAATTTTGCATTTGCATTTCCACCATCAATGCAAAGGTCATATACGACAATTTTGAATTTGTACCTAAGAAGCAAGAAAACTTTTTACATTTACCTAGATAATGCATGGCTCTTAATTTTGATAAAAATATTAAAAAAAAGTTTTTCCGAAAAGGATCATATAGGACATTTTGCATTGAAAGTGACGATTTGTATGTATGTATCTCAGTACGTACTTTCATCGAAGATTGCACGAACTTTTGGTTTTGGCGCAGTGTCCAATGCCTTCAGTTTTGGACAACAAACCTGCGGATAAATTCAAAATAAGAAATCCATTACCTAATGAATCAACTTCTTGCTCCGCTAAATTAAAATACTCACATTTCTGCTATCGACTTCATTTCCGCATTTGCTGCCTCTCAAAAATGCTATTTCTGCTTGCGTTATATCCTTCTTCAATGCCAGTTTATACAAAGGCGGACATTCTTCTATGACTATACAATTACCTTCTTCTCCATTTGGTGTTTGACATAGTTGGGTAGCTATTTCATTTTGGGCTTCTGCACAGCAAACCTAAAAATTATGAAAATTACCAAAAAATATTCTTAACTGCTTTTAACTGTGAAAAATTCACTCAAGTAATTTTTACACACAAGTGGACTATTATTTGCGACTCCACATTGACTCTTGCGTAAAAAATGTACATCCTCTTCCGTTTGCGGATTCTTGGCAAGATTATAAAGACTCTCGCAGGCAACAAGTAATTTGCAGCTTCCAACTGAGCCATTTGGGGTCTCACATAGCACAAAATCTAAAATATGTATGTAAATTATAATTATCTTTTCTTTCAGTTAAAATCATCTAAAAAAGGCAAATCTGTTTGCCACAAACATAACCACTTCTATTGGAGTCCTTTCAATGACACTTATTCTCACCGCCATTAACTCTTACGAAGAGTAGATTTAGACAGCACAAACATGCTAATCCTACACTGGCTAGATTATCCATTTTTTTACAGAAATTGTAGCGCTATGCTTCCGCCGCCTTTATTTAGTTCACTCTACGCTGCCTTTGAAATCTAACTGCTATGTGATTGCGACTTTACTTTTTTAATTTTATTTTTTTTACTATTTCAAGCGCTGTGTTTATATTTCGCAAAACTATTTCTTATCAATTAAAAGAAATTTATGAATAATGCGCAACTGTTCCTACTTATCGTTGAATTCATTGTACTGGAAGAAATTACCAAGCCCCTTTGCTTGCTTGCACGTATGTATGTACATCAGGGTGGTAAAAAAGTAAAGTCGGAATTTTAATGCTCTCACCCCTTAGGATTGTTCTACACGGTTGTTTTGTTTATCAAAAACTATTTGGAGGTCGCTTAAAGCGCTCAAAGTTTTCCATGTACTTTAAATGGGAAAAAGAAGTTTTCGTAGAAATAGTATAGGATTCTTGAAAATCAATACTTTTCGGTCGGAAACATCGTTTCTCCTCAAGAGACTTCCAATAGCAATACCCAATAGGTCCCCTCAAAACCTCGAATGGGTCTTCCATTGCATTTTTTGAGGTTTTCAGGGGTCCTATAAAAAAATAGCTTATAGTACCCTAATGTGCATACATACATACATATGTACCATAAGTAAATTGATGTATGTATTTATTTATTATTTATTTTTAATCAAATTGCTACTCAATTCCGGAAAAATTTCTTTTTATTTCTTTTTATTAGCTTTGAAGGAAAATACCAGTATTTAGATTAAAAATAAAATGCAAAAAAAATGCATGTTGCTTATGCCACATAGTTCGGTGTTCTAATGCAACCTTCTGGGAAGTTTAGCTGTAAACTCTAGAAGAAATTTTGTAATTAACTATTCACTGTTATTGTTCTTCTACTCCTTATTTGGCAGTACATGTAATAATTTTTGGCCTCGGGCCAGAATTAGAAAGCTTCATCGAGAGGCTTTTTCTTAGAGAAATTCCGATGTGCGCTTAAAGCAAATTCTGAAATTAATTTTTGATAACTCAAAAAGTGAACATAATTTTTTGTCAGTTAAAACTGGACATAATTTTCGGTCATAAAACAACTGGTCATCATTTTCGGTCACATAAAAATGGTCATAGAAAAAGAGGACCTTAATTTTTGCTTATTTAAAAACAAGACACATTTTTGGTCATAGAAAAACAGAACATAAAAAACAGACATAAATTGGTCATACCAAAACTGAATCGCTTTATAAAAACGATTTTTTTTGTTGCTTAAAAATTGGGCATAATTTTTCTCTGGCTTAAAAATTTTACATAAAATACAAAATAAAGACAATACATAAATTTTCGTTGCGAAAAAGCAGGGCATAAATTTCTGACATTTTAAAAACTGGACATAAATTTTTGGTTATTTTTTAACTTTACAAAACAAAAACAAGACATAAATTTTTGTCATGACCTGTATTTTTTTGTTAACACCTGTACACAAATTTTTAGTTATGTCAAAACTGAAGAAAAATGTTTGGTCGCTTTATAAAAGCTATTCGTCTTTTACGCATTAAAGCCCTTCCTACAGTTCTCAGCTCGCAAAAAGACTCACATTTTTGGCAAAATGGTCCCATTCCAACAGAATTTTCTCAGAGCCACAAAAAAATTAAAACTGTCTGGGCTTCCGCTTTGACGCCGCTTTCTCTACTTGCTATACGCATCCACTTTATCGAAAGTACTGCTACGTAATCAAAGCAATTTTATGCACTGAATGCGGATACATTTTATTAAAACGAAAAAACCGTAATATNAAAAAAATATATATATTCAAAAACTATTTCGCAATAGTCTCCTCGATCCACTGCCGATAAGCTCCAACACGTGTATAAATGCCACGCGTCCTCGTCTGTCCACAATTGCCAGTGCCAAACGAAACCAAACCAATCAAATGATAAGCCACTTTGCCATTCTCTGTCTCCAGTAGCATAAGTGGCCCACCAGAATCACCATGACAAGAATCGGTACCAATTCCAGCCGCGCATATTTGCTTATCACCAATTGTAATTCGACTACGCAAGTTATTTAAACCACACTGAGTGGCAGTCATAACTGTGACAATTGTTTTTAATTTGATTTCACTATGTGCGCTCCTTTCAGTTGCTCCCCAACCGACAATTTCCGCTGCGGCACCTTCATATTTCGCCGCTTGCTGACTCGCCGTCAAAGGTAGACATATGGGGCTTATAAAACCTGTATAATCCACGCTTTCTGCTAGACGCAACAAAGCTATATCATTTACTTTAGAACCGCTGTTGTATTGCGGATGAATTGTTGTTGTCTGCACATCGATATCACGATGCGCTGGCGCACAAAATGTATTGCCATTATTGTCATATTCACAGTCCTGCTCCGTTCTGGTATTCCATTCACCCAAACGCACACCAGTGAGATGCCAATCTCTCGGCAGATCACGTTCGGCTATACAATGCGCTGCGGTGAGTATGAAATTTGTGTTAATAAGAGAACCGCCGCATAGAAAATCTAAGTCGTCATCGCCTACAAAGTTATAGTTAATGAGTTTGGAGATTTATTTCTTTTGTAAAATTTAGCAATGCCTACTATTGGTATAAAGCAGCAGCGCTGTCCAGGGATATTCGTCGATACTGGTTTCATTACCACCAAATATACGATTTCCTATATTAGCTCTGCCACACGCTGGCGGGGAAGGTAAGCTCATTTGATTTGCCGGTGCAACGGTGTAATTTTTCTGAAAAGTGTATATTGTTAGAAAGTCACTGAATTTTTCATCTAAAATTGAACTAAATATGTAACTAACTAGATTTCTGTTCACAAAACATGTATTATAAAAAATTCACACAGTTTCTGTTTGTGCGTTGGGTTTGGGACCCGCCACGTAAAATTAACGCCTAATGTAAAATAAGAAAAAGCTTCGGATTAGACCCCCTTATTTTTGTAACAATCATGGCGAACGTTTTAAAGACTATCATCCGCAATATCTGGACGTTCACAATTTTGATGCCAGGGTGGGAAAGGCGAGATCTTTGGTCCTACTTTCAGAAAATTCGGCAACCACTACGAAACGTCCGACACCAGATTTATACTGATCGACTTGTCAGTAGTAGCCTATAGCACTAGGTTTCAGTATAAAAGAACTCAAGGTGGCTCCAAATCAAAAAACGGCAAACGAGGTAGACGATGTTGTGATAGACGGAAGGAACGTTTTCAGTATTCTAGACGTACGTGCGATCTAAACGCTAAACAGCGATTAGGGCAACTACCTTTTTACGGCTATGGCATATTCACCTGCCCTCACTGCTCGCAAAGAGCGCCCTTCAAAAAACTAACATATGTATCTGAATAAGGATCCACACTTCCTACCTGAAGAGTAATGTTGCGATCCGGCGAAAATCAAGCTATGAAATACCGATATAGAAGAGGAAAGCAGGAAGTATTTTCTGTGATAAAAATAGGTAGAGGTCGAAACACCTGACTGCAAAGAGCCAGAAATGCTGGCCCATAGAAATAATGACCGAAAATTTTATCACAAAATTAGGCAAGTTTTCAAGACCAAAGAAAAAATCTGTCCGAGCAACTACGAGAAACAAGTGACCTATAACATTATGGACTGAACATTTTTGCAATTTGCTGAACTGTTACAGTACTGAAATCAGCAGAGCAAATGAATCTTCAGCCCAAATCGATAATGACGGAGTCAATATACCATCGCCCGACAAAACTATACCATCCGATTGGAATTCAACCAATCCCCAGAGATATATGCCAACCACCTCGGGTTCAACCTTCTGAACTGAACCGTCAAGTCTGCAAGGAATATTCGCGAGAGAAGGATCAACATACAACGTCATCGACAAAGGGACGATATCGACAGTACGAAAAGAATATGCCTATCTGCCGCGATTCGCGAATTTGGTATCCACGCAAAACCAATTGGACTCAAATTACTTAGACAATTACAGCGCTAAAAAAGAAGAGGAAGAATTAGACTTCAAAACTACGGCGATTTTTAACCAAAGTAATGTGCTAAAGATTTAAAATTGTGATGAGGTGTGGTGAGGACTAGTTACATCGAAAATATTGAAAAGCTTTATTGCAATAGTTATAAACGATACATACCTTATCAATGATATTTTCTGTGACGATTTCATTTGGTCCTTCCTCTGTAGCATTGATGATTGCAAAATTAGGAGGCATACTCCCCGCTTCAATTGTTATGCCTACGAAACTATCGTCAGCTTTTGATAGGGGACAGCACATCTGGTGGCAGAATAGGTCAGTTATTATAAACAAATCAAATTTTTAAAAGTTGAGTCTTCACCAAAACATTTCTGTTGGAATCTGCGCATTTACTGTGTATTAAAAAAGTAGTTTCTTCGGGTGTTCTGTTGTTTTTTCTAACCAAATCAAGCAAACATTTACAACCTCCAATCTGTATACATTCTCCTGGAGTGCCGTTTGGTGTTTGGCACAACGGCGGTGAGGAAACTACTAAAAGGTATGTGAAAAAGTAAAACATTGGTTGCACTAAGTATAAAGAAAGTATTCCAAGTCAAAAAAAGTTCGAAATCTTGTACATGATATAGCTGGGCGATAACAGACTACCAAATATTAGATATCGATGACTGAGTGGAAGATCGATATATCACGACAGCCAGTTCGAAAACGCCCTATCTCAGAAAACTTTTCAAGAACGCCCTAATTCAGAATTTAATTTAAAAACGCCCTATTTTAGATTTTTATTGAAAAACTCCCTCTCTCAGAATTTGGCTGGAGAACGCCCTATCTCAAACGAAAATACATTGAAAATGTTCGGAGATTTTTCGGACGTTTTTGAATTGGCAGATGAGATAGGGCGTTTTTAAATAAAATTCTAAAATAGGACGTTCTTCAACCAAATTCTGAGTAGGGCGTTATTGAAAAAGTTTATGAGATAGGGCGTTTTCAAACTGGCTGCAGAGATATGTAGGTCGATCTTCGACTCATCCATCGATGTGCGACTATCAGGCAAAGCCATCATATTTGATAGTCCATAACGATAGATGTTGCTTACCTGCCGCGATTGACGTGGCCGTCGTCTGGATTTCTGATACAGTTGGGTGTACCGGACAACAAGCCTTAAGAATTTGTTTAGCCATGCATGTTTACACGTTAAAATTGATACAAATTATCTAATGCGAAAATTGTATGAGCTTACCATAAAATCTCCATTTACATATCCGCATTGACTCTTTTGCAGAAAGCTTGTTTCATTAGATGTTCTCGTTGATTTCCGAACCAGATTCATTAAGACGCTGCAACCCTTAATGGGTTTACATAATCCAAGAACAGAGTTTGGTGTCTGGCAGGTACTATCTACAAGTTGCAGGAGAGAAGAAGGAAACCCTTTCACTTGCATAAAAAAAAAATTTATCAAAATAAATTTTATAGGCATAAATTATGAAATTATAAAATTTCGGTAGACTTAGTTATGATAATATGAGAGATACCAATCCATCTAAGTTTAGCTTAAAATGGTTTCAGGGAGACGCCGCGTGAACGTAAATTTTCCGGGATACTCTACGGTCGGTTTTTAATATTTCCAACGCTAATTTTGACTACTTTAATGCATTTTAAAGTAGTCAAAATCAAATACGGAGTCGGACAATCGACTTGCTGCTTGCACACAACTCAAACCGAACATTCGAAAGCATATTTACATGTCTGGCTGTAGCTGAGCGTGCAGATATGCCTGCTGTTACTTGTTAGCTTCCAGAAGGTCCGGGTTCGAATCTAGTGAGAGGCATCATGTTAAAGTGATTATAAAAAATTTCGTTTTGTGTATCCGAACTATGAAAAAGCATCTGTGAATTGCAAAACGAAAGCGTATTTAAACGAAACATACCGACTTTGAAGCGTTTTAAGCCAAATGCATTTTAAAGTAGTTGAAATCAAATGCAGAGTCGGATAATTGACTGCTTCCTAGGACATCGCCATATTAAAGTAAACAGTTCGTTCCAAAGAAGAAAGNGGATAATTGACTGCTTCCTAGGACATCGCCATATTAAAGTAAACAGTTCGTTCCAAAGAAGAAAGTCAGATCTTCAATTAGTTGTGGTGGGTAAAAAACTGGTATGCAGAGCGGTGAAATATCCAAACCAAGCTCCAATGCTCTCAAACAAATACTTTCTAAGGCATGTTTACGTTATGAAAATCGTATCTGTATAGCCGGTGCCACGCACCTTGATATGTCTAAATCATTCTTAGCCTATGACCGTTCTTGGGATGCCTGCAGTAGGTATGCCAAATTTATTTATGATCGGTTTAGGACGAAACATACATAGTACAGTCNCCTGCAGTAGGTATGCCAAATTTATTTATGATCGGTTTAGGACGAAACATCTTCAAATTAGATCAAAATCTAATTTTATACGAAAGAAAATGCGCAGCACCCTCCGGAAAAAAATTCGAGATAATCNACATTTATACTTATATGCTTATTTATTCGTAAAACGATGTGCATACCAGTGATGCCAGACATTCTCTGTTAAAAATCCCACGAAAATTGAGAAAAAATCCCTCAATTACCCACAGCTTAAAAATTTATCCCAAAAAATTCCCAACGAATTTAGACATATACATGTTTCAGTAGTAAAGAAGTAAAATCCATTAAAATAATAATAATAATAATTGGCGCTTACACATATGTGCTTCTCCTCCAATTTGTGGCGTGCCCCTTGTTGTTGTCACACAAAGGGGAGGGACCTACAGTTTTACGCCGACTCCGAAGGGCGAGTGTATTTTTACGAGAAGCTTGTTTTCATGGCAGGAATACACTCGGAGGTTTGCCATTGCCTGCCGGGGGCCGACCGCTGTTAAGAAAAAACCCCTTTTTCTGCATTTTTTTCACTCATTCATTTTTTCACTTTTATGTTTTTGCTCACTCACTAAGGGCCTAAACGAATTTTTTGGTGACTTAAAAATTGAAGCACATTCATGTGCTATTTAACATTTCATCAGATAATTTGTTCCGCTTTTTACACGAAACACCAGTTACAACTGAAAAGATTCTTTCTTACTCAGCGCTTGAATTGGTTAACGTAAGAAAATTTTCGAAATTGTCCTTATACTTTTAATAATTATATACATCTTCAGAAAGATTAATTGCGTAAGAATGTCGAATATTCTTAAATTTGGATCAATTATGCAACAATAACTGCATCAAAAGAAAATCCCTTATTTATTTGAAATGTCCCTTTTTTTCCTTTTAATAATTTTTGTTGCAAAATATCCCTCAATTAGGGAAATTACCCACAATCTGGCATCACTGGATGGGCTACAAAACTGCGTACTCGAATTTTTTTTTAAGATTTTGAGTAAAAAGTTTGAAATTTTGATGAAATTTTTTTGAATTTTTATGAATTTTAAATAAAGTGGGAAATTTTGCTTTCGGCGAGTGTGAGGAGGAGACGCGTACCTATAAACGAAAGAGTAACTTCAAGTCATTATTCTACTGAACCAATTACTATCCCGAATGAGGCCGACGCGATCCAACAGTTGCACCTCCGCTATCTCGGCCAGACTGTCGAAGAAGCGTGAACCCAAGTGCTCGAGGCGCTTCGTCTGTAGACCTGGATATCGATATAGAAAGTGGTAAATTGACTCTTCCTCATTCTCATCATGGCAATTGAGGTACATACACACATACACACGTATTTATATGATTTGTGATAACAGCCTTTTACTGAAGTTGCCTTTAACTTTAAAGCTCACGTTATATATAAAGTTATGATTAAAAATGTAGCTATATCTAAAGTTAAGCATTTCCATTATCGGGTTTTGACATATGTACTATGTTTCTTGGTTGTAAACCAATTTAAAACTGATAATAAAATGCTTTACTTTAGATACAATCACAAATTTTAATGCAACCTTTAAATATAAAGTGAGCTTTAAAGTTACAGGTTACTTGATAAAACGGCACTTAAGAATACTCTATCCTCTAATTTTTTAGATTTTATACAGGTTTCAGTGCCATAGTAAGGACTTCTTAAACATCGGCTAAAAAAAAAAATACCTAAAAAGTCAAATTTAATTACAAGTAGGTTTTGGAGATACTCGATTTTCCTCTTTTAAACAGCAAACCTAGAAAAATTATTATATTATAAAATAAGAAATTTAAGTTTCTGATTTAAAATTCTTACGTAGTGTATATTATTGGCAACGCCACATTTTCGTCTTCTAATAAAATATATGTCTGCTACTTGTAGATCTGGTTTCAAAGCAATTTTAAATAAACTATCACAATTCTGCAAAGGAATGCAGTCACCATAAGTTCCCTCATATGTTCGGCAGGCACTTTCTATAGCATCTATGAGTTAGACGTTCGAATAAATATTTATATTGAAAGTAAATGACTAAAAATAAAATTCTCTACCGCTACTTACAACCAGCGATCTCAGTGGAGATAAGAAAACCGCTCAACATTAAAATCGCTCTAAGTTCCATTGTTTATTGAATCGAATTTACAATTAAATTAAAACTATAGAATTCTAGCAGTGACTACCTCTCCCTACAACGATCACTAGCGAACTGTTTTGAGTTATTTTCTGCAGTGAAAATAAAATCACTTTCTTTCGTTTTGTATGCAAAAGAGGAAATTTCTTTATTGCTCTGCAATCAGTGAAATGCCTAGTAGATGCATATGTTTTTCATTCAGAAATTTTTAAAAGATAAAGGGTGGTTCAAGCGCGTGTATAGGTTTGATTTATATAAAAATCAATATACTCCAGATAGTAGGGGCCTATTTTTTGGTTTTCTCTCAGACCTCAGGATCTTTTTAAAGAACTCTGAAATTTCAAAGATATGATTATTAATGGACTAATTCAAAATGGAAAATTCAAAATATTCAAAAAAAAAATTATAAAAAAATTTTGAATAACCACATGTGGGTATGACATACATGAGAAAATTCTGCAGAATTGAAAAAGATAAATTTTTTGTGCACAAGGACGGAAAATTATTGAAAATGTGCTCTTAAAATTTTTATTATTGAACATCTTTGATAATTTGAAATATTTATTTTTGAAAATATTACATGTTAAAGACTAATATATATACATAGTCACATCTTCGAATTTCTAACTTTATTAGCTCAAAAAATACAAATAATTAAAAGGACTTTTCACAACATATTCGACATTAGACCTTGCAATCCCAAAAATTTGATTTTTTTCAATTCTACAGAATTTTCTCATTCATTTCGTACCCATATCTATTATTTCATGTGTTTTGAATTTATTGGACTTCGTCGCATGGTGTTATATGAAATATTTAGCGACATGAAATATAAAGCCTAGAAAAGTCTGCAAATAAAACATTTACCCTGTGAGGAAAATCTATAATTCTGAACTGGAGCGCTTCTAGTACATTTAGACCCAGTACTGGTTCGCGATAAATCTCTTTTGCATGCAAACAACTGGCGAATTTACCATGGCGATGTCCTATGAAGTCTCAATTGCCTCCCGCTGCACCCCTATTTCGATAGTTCGGAACTATTCCTAAATTTTATCTTACCGAGCCAGTTCTAAAATCGACAGACGGAAGAAAAAAATATCGTGATTCTTCATTTTTTTCGGTCCTTCCGCGTGTGCAATTTTCAATTATTTTCAAAGAAATGTCTTTTCAACTTGAAATTAAATTCGTTTGAATGATTGTAAGAAATGTATGTTTACATACCTTTGGCAGTAGCTGAGTTTGCAGAGGTGCTTGCTGTTATTGGTTAGATTACAGAAGGTCCCAAGATGTTAAAGTGTTTACAAAAATGTTGGCTTTGTATTACCAAAAAACGAAAAAGCCGCCAAACACATATCTATGTAAAGTAAACAAGCCCCCCGCTGCATCCCTTTTTCTACAGTTCCCAACCAGTTCTAAATTCGTTACCTTATACATAGATTTCTAATGAAAAAAGTGAAATAAAATTGTTTTTTTTTTAAGTACCACATTACGCTGATTTTGAACTGGTGTGGATCTATGTGCCTACTATCGGTCTGGGTCGTTTTTGGCGATAAAGATCTAGTACGGAACTAGAAATTTGAT